GCACACACGCACACGCACACTCTCACACTCACTCACTCTCTCTTTCTCTGTCTCTGTCTCTCTTTCTCTCTCTCTCTCTCTCTCTCTCTCTCTTTCTCTCTCTCTCTACCTCCCCCCCCCTTCGCCCTTTGCGTTCATTTGGTTCCAATCGAGTCATTAGTTCGCTCCATGTGGGTAGTTGGCGGGTGCTCTGGTGTGGTTTGCTCCTCCTTTCTTATCAAACATCGCCTGGATCTCTCCTCCTTCTTTTTTATGTTTATTACTCTCTTGTAACACCTCTTATCTTTGGAAGTTATATGACCATGATGTGTTGCAAGTGCCATTAAACTCTTACTAAAACTAAAAACTAAGTTCGCTCCATAATGAACCTGAAATGCGCTAGAGCTCACGGTCTAAGAATTTACAGTACAAGTGCAGGCTAGAATTAACAATTCTTTTGTCGCGAGTGACGTAGAAGAACACCCCAGACTAGTGACCAAATGGGCGTTGATAGGGGTAAGTCTATGGTACAGTGCTTTCAAGGAGGCGTGGCTAGAAGATTAACGACACTGTTCGTCCCCGTGGGCGTGGCTAGAGGATTTATGGCACAGTCCGTCCTTGTGGGCGTGGCTACAAGGTCTACGATACTGTTTGTCCAAGTGGGCCTGATTAGACGGTCTGGAGGGGGGGGGGGTAAAGAGATATCATGTAGGTAGTTTTTATGACCGTCAACAGTGAAGAAGAGTATTAAAAAAGGGGGAGTTGCGAGGATGCTTTTGTTGATATTAATGTGTTACTTCGAGGGGAAGAAGGGGTAGGGGTTGTGGTTGGCCCACAAGGTCACCAAGCTCATGTTTCACGGTGTGAAACGTCACTTCTCCCGGCCCTACACGCTTTCTGTCTGTCCATCTTTCATTCCGCTTATCATCCTGTAAAGCATCTGATCTTTTCCTCTCCATCACATATTTTTCCTTATAAAATTGATACGCTCGCTGTGGATGATTAGAACTTCCCTTTTCTCTCTCTCTAGTTGTATGTCCGTCCGTCCGTCCTATCCCCAGCACAAACCGGCGTCTGTGTTGTAATGCCATTTTAACTACTTTTCTTTGCATGTTTCTTTCTCGTAACAATTACCTCTAACCTTCAGAATTTGTTTGACATTTATTTTGCACCTGCCCTAAAAGTCTTACTTTATGTCCATGTACTTTTCACTGAGTAAACTCAAAACGAACCCACCCTCGCGTCGTCCTCAGAATTCTTCACGGAGCTGCTGGACAAGGCCAAGATGGACCTGCACGAGATGTTCGTGAAGACGTACGGCTTCCTGTACCAACAGCACGCCTACATCTTCACCCAGCTGTTCGAGGATCTGCGGACCTACTACAAGGGCCGCGACAAGAACCTCATGGACGTCATGAACAGCTTCTTCAGCAAGCTCTTCCAGAAGATGTTCCAGCTGCTCAACCCAGACACGGACTTCGACTCGGAGTTCATGGGCTGTGTGCTTGAGGGCATGAAGGAGCTGAAGCCGTTCGAGGACGTGCCCCAGAAACTGTCGTTGCACGTCAAGAGGGCCTTCATCGCCGCGCGCACTTTTGTACAGGGGCTGGCTATTGGACGCGATGTGATCAGTGCTGTTATGGAGGTAAGGCTTAGCTTGTGTTGCATTGTTTGTTTGTTTGTTCGATTTGTTTGTTTGTGCATTGTTGTGTTTGGGTGATTGCATCATTGGTGCTGCGTAGAGGTGGTACTTTTAGGACTGTTTGTTTGCTTTATTGTTTTGTTTGTATCTTGTTTTGATTATGTGATGGCGTTGCCTGTGCTGTCATGAAAGGGGTGTTTTTAGGGAGGGGGGCAGTGTCTTTGAGGCTCTTTATTTATGATGCCTCTTCTGGGAGTAGTATTTGGTAGATATCAATGTTTGGTCCTGCTTCGTTTATTTCCTTCTATTATTCCTGTACTTATATTTCTTTTTCTCTGCACAAAGTGGACGTTTTTATGTCGATGTGTTTCTTTTTACCCAAGCTATGTTGTTATCTTTAATTTCTCATTTTAAGTGTCTTCATGTGCCAGTTTTAAAAAAAAAAAGGTATTTGTCCGTCTGCCGGTCGCAATTTGGCTTTGGGGGGTTGGCAGGTGCTCTGGTCTTGTGGCGTTTGCTTTTTCTTTCCTGTCAAATCATCTATCCTCATTATCTCTCCCTGCCATTCTCCCCGGCTACTCTTCCGTCTCTCTCTCTCTCTCTCTCTCTCTCTCTCTCTCTCTCTCTCTC